TAGTTTGGTAATGAATGTTCTTTAACTAGTTACATGTTATATTGGATTCAATCTAAATTGAAGATCAGTAACTCTGAAGTTGTTGGAAGAAACTCGCTGTTGTCGGTTTCAATCAAGAACTCAAAATTGTTAGAAACTCGACTTTGTTGGTTTTCATTCGCAGAAACTCGGTTTCAAGTTGTTCGCATGAAAACTCAATAAAACACCCTCTTCGATATGCATGGAATGAAAAAAAGATCAACTTTATTCCATAGATGCACCAATTTTTACAACTATAATACTTCTCCCCAAAACAGGACCAAGAACCATAACCATTAAACCATTTGTTCTCTCTTCAAACAAAGACCAAAAAAACAACCTTCAAAACTTAAGAGCCAACATCAAGTAAAACTAAATACATCTCAATCGTTCTCATTCGTTTGAACGAATTAAATGCAACAAATATAAACAAATTCACACGAATCACAAACCCTTTGACCCGTCTTCACCACCAAAGCCTTTCACTTCCAAGGATTTCTTATCCCCAGTGACCCTCCGGTCAGCCCCACCACCGGAATACCTACCCCGGCGACTCTCCGGCAAGAACTCCATTTTCCCAGCAGCCATATCCGACCTCAATTCACTCAGAGCCTTGCCCAACAGCCCATTCTCAGCCTGAATCCCCTCCAGCTGCTTCTTCACATCCAAACACGCCTCGGCCAGCAGCTTTTCTGGCCCCGCCTTAGACTCCTTGGATCTCGCCACATGTTCGATTCCAATCTTGTTCATCACCAGCAGCGGCATTCTAACCCCGCCGCCCGGCCACTCGCTGCCGCCCTTCCTCCCCACAACCACCGCGTCCATCTCATCCGCCGCCGCCGGCGGAACCCTAAGCCCCCACCGGAAATTCACCACGGCCAGATCCCGCAGGGGCATGCGGGTCCTCGCGCCCACCTCCGCCCCCTTCAGCAGCCCGCCCACCACCATCCCCGCCGCCGCCTTCGACTCGGCCGTCGCCGGCAAGAACCTCGCGAAACCCTCATCTCCGCCGCCGCCGTTCGGCTTCTCCCCGAGGCACCTGACGAGGTCGGAGGAGTGGGATTTTTTCAGAGAGAAGTCTCCAACATTGGGTTTGAAGTGGATGAAGAAACTAGGGTTCCGGCCGCCGACGAGGTTGAACTCGGCGCTCATCGTCACGGGGCTGTTCGCCGGCGACCCGAATTTCCCGACGCCGGTCTTGAAGACGAATCCGAAAGGGTTTTTGGAATCATTTGGGCGGTACGAGAATCGAAGCGACGGCCCGGAATCGAGAAAGGTGCCGAGGTTCAGGGAGAGCTCCTTGGAGTCGCCGGCTACGACCCCCGCCTGAAAAGGGAGGTTGAGGACGTTGAGTGGGACCTTAGCTCGCAGCAATGGCTTCTGCTCGTCGCGGAATTTGATGGAGGCCTTCATGATTTGATTGGATTGTGAATTTATTTTCTAGATTTTCTAAATTAGGGTTTTGCGTGTGAGTGATTTTATAGTGCGAGGAGAGTGAGGAAATTTCAGAGATGAGGGATCAGGAGAAAATTTGTGGCATTCAAATTTTGGCTTATTTGAGGAATTGAATTGCCCTTTTTGCACTTGGAGTTTTTGAAAAATGATTTTGCAATCTTACTTCTTTGGGTGAATTTTGGGGGTAAGATTGGGATTTCATAACAAGTGGATGAATCTATTGTCAAATTTTCCTCTTCAGCACTAGAGCTGTAAATAATTCGGGAGGAGTCGAATTCGAGTTCTTAATACTCAAACTAGGGCTCGAGTTCTTATTGAACCGACTGCGCTCGAGTAGTTAAGTTATGATCTGATAATGAACTCGAACCTTAATAAACCAATATATGACAGAAGTTCAGTAAATTATGTAAAAAAAAACCCTACTTATAAAGCATAACTAGTCAAATCGAACTCAACTCATTGACTAAAGGAGCTTGAACTCGACTAGTTTATCAAAAGAGTCAAGCTCACGAATGACTCTAGCAAATTTGGGAATTTTGAAACTCAAAAAGTTTTATGCCAATAGAAATAAGCATTTCAACTACTTGTCTATATATATTGGTGTATGAAAAAAGTGGTGCATAATACCTAAAGTATTGTGAATCTGAACTAAATGATAAAATAATTTATAATTGCATAACATTTTCCTCTTTCATGTTGTACAGCATTACAAATTAATGCAAAAATGATTAGTACATACAACTCATACCTGACATCATACTAAAACTAAGAGCATGTTTGTTTATGAAAATTTTTAATTTTGTTTTAATTTTTTGGTTTGATTTGGTTAATTTTGAAAAAAGTGGTATGGTTAATTGTTAGTGGGTATATTAAAATAATATTTAAAATAAAATAATTAGAATTAATTTGATGTAAAAGTATGAGAAAGATGATTGATCTGATGGTTAGTTAAAATAATGTGAGTGAATGAATAGTGAATTAAGATTGATGTGGTGTGTATGAATGATTGATTGATATTATTTAATTATATTAATAATATTGGTGATAGTGGGGTTGAGTTGTTGGATTAAAAAAAATGGTTGAATTAAAATGTTGAAATTTTTTTGAAAATTTTTCATAAACAAACATGTCATAATTTATTACTTAAAAAATTCAAATGCCACCTGATTCATAAGCTTTTGGCCTTTGGCCTTTGAGACATTTCATTCATATTTCTCTCACATTACGCAGCACTTCAGAATAAATGTAAAATATGTTAATACATATAATTCATTACACCAGATACCAAACTAAAACTTTTTTTTTTTTTTTGNCAAATGCCACCTAATTCCCAATAACACAAATTTATTCAATGAAAAAAAAAAAATTTGTTTTAAGTTCTTCCCCATTCAACACTATTGTTCAACTCTTAATCTTTCCTGGCTTTTGGTATATCAAGATCCCGAAAAACCGGGCTGTCAACTCCAACTCCCATTGCATTAAGCCCATTGTCAACATAAACAACGGCACCAGTAATAGCCGAAGCCAGTGGAGACACCAGAAAAGCAGCAGCATTTCCAACCTCATCTGGTTACATTAATTTTTTTTTTTTTTTCATACTTAGTGATTGAAAACAACACATTTAGACTAAAGCGTAAAACATCAGTTTACTCTGCTATGTTATCTGCACGCATGTTTTTTTTCTATATGAATTCTCATGGATCTTCTTCATCACTTGAAAGGAGGAGATTTTAACTAAAGGACTCCCCCTCACTATGGGGTATTTTTTAAGAAATTGCAAATGTCAATTGGGTTCTTGTGATGCCTTGTTATGTAATAATAAGAGGAATGTTTTCGTGGTAAATATTCAAAACCTCAAGGCTAGTTTTTGTAATTATGTCATTTGAAATTTTTGTTTATTTAAATGGGGAAGATGGCTCACCGGCAGTTAGCTCCTTCTGCAAAGGTGCATTCTCCAACGAGTAATCGATCATCACGTCGATAAATCCGATAGCTTTTGCAGCACGGCTTCTTAATGGGCCTGAATCAAGAAGTTGCAATTATAAAATGTGAATCTGGACTTCACTAATGAAAACAATTTTATATTTTTTACAAAGAAAATAATCATCTTGCAATCTGATTATTCCTAAATTCCAATAGGCAAACAATGTCAATTATATTCAGCATTCACGCACCGTTACTTTGCAACATCAGGAGAAAATTCATAGATTAAGAGCTTCTTAGATGTTTTTACAAGTTCAACTTCGTGTTTCCAGTGTTGAAAAATAAACTTCTACATTTATTGTTTTACATGTCAAAATTGGGAAAGATATGATTGTTTGATTAATTAGTGATGTGGGACGGTGATTGGAAATGAAAATTAGAAACGGGGAGAAAAACTACAAGCAAACATGATTCCAATTTTACGAATAGTCGAACAAAAAAGTTGGAAAATGGAACGGTTGTTTCAAACATGAACAGATTTCACCACTTCAGCTATTGTTCTAATGTTTTATATAACCATTGACCAGTATATTTTTAACATACCTGCAGATATGGTGTTGACTCTAATGTTGTGTTTTCTTCCAGCTTCAAAAGCAAGCACCTAAACCACGGTTTGGTTTTAGGACATCAGGGTAACGTAAGTATAGGCAAATAAAAATAAAACGAGCAACGAATAAGGACCAACCCTTGTGTCACTCTCTAAAGCAGATTTTGCTGAACTCATCCCACCACCATATCTGGAAAGCAAAAAGTTAAAGCGCAATGTTACCATCTTTTTAAAATAAACGAAGAAAGAAAAAAATAATGAATTATATCTTTCAGAATTAAAAATATAGAAGCACCCTTCAAGGTTCGTATTTTCCCAATCAGGTGCACAGGGTATATGTAGTTTTCGAAAATCTAAAGCGGAAAATTTCCATAATCAGACTAAAAGGGAAAATGTACCCTGGTATTATTTTCTCGGAGGCAATGTATGTTAGAGATATTGTGGCACCGCCTGTGGAGAACAGGAGAAAAAGTAGAAAAATGATATTTATTGGTGGCAAATTAAATAATTTTTTTTTCTTTTTCATACAATGTGAGTTCTCATGGCAAGATAGGGAACATATGCATCAAAATATACCAGGATTCATGATGGGAAGAAAATGTTTGAGGAGAGAAATAAACGAATAGCTTGATGCGGAGATTGCTGCAAGGTAACCATTTCTGGATGTCTCCAGCAGAGGCTTACCAACCTGCAATTTATTTCCAGACAATACAAGAAAAAACCGTTATATCTTTTAGAAAAAAG